TGGAAGAGACTTTCCAGTCCAGAGTCGGAGCGCTCTGGCTAAATGTCAGACCTCGGCTTTCTCCACTCCCGGGAAAATAAAGTTTGTCTCGTTTTGGGGCAGACTTCTCCAGCTGACTTTTTTTTCTTTCTTTCCCGTGTCAGTATTTAACCTGCAAGTTAAATACGAGGCTGGAAATGTTAATGATATTTTGCCCATTGCTGTTAGGAATTACAAAGAGCTATTGAAAGTCTTTGAGGCTTAAAAGAGCGCGTCGTTGGTGTGTTTAGAGACTTGTAGTGGGTCGGAATTGTGGGTTCCTGGGGAACGGGAATGCTTCTTGCAGAACTTGCCTTTTGTGTGTGGAAGTAGGTTGCCCTGTCTCCTGCCCATCAGAAGGTATAGATAGGCAAGATGATATGCAAGGGAACGTAGTTTGTGCCTATGATGAGTGTGTTGGTTTTGTTTCGTCTTTTTATTTTCCCCAAATAGGTGGTAGTAACAGCAGAGGTGAGCTGCTGAGTAAATGTGGAAGTTTTTGTTAATTTTCTAATGAGTTCATAGTATTAAAAGGGACGTTGCTACCTCCTAAAGCTGGGGTGCGTTGGTTCACCAAACAAAACGTGAAGACTGGTCTGTTAGGCCTGTGCAAGGTAGGCTTGCTGTACTTCCTCCAGTGTAAAGTTTGTGTTCTTCCCAGTGACGTAGCACATAAATAGGTTGGGAATTCAATAGCAGTAAATTTTTCAGGTGAAAAAAATGAATTTGATGTGACTTAAAAAAAACACAACAAAAGCGGCACAACTAAACCCTAAGAACTGGGTGGGGAGGAGAGAGGCGTTAGTTGTTTGTGTCATTTCGGTGGGGTGTGCGGTGCTTGTGCTTTTGTCTTTACATTGTAACTGTTTCAGGTTAATCGAGATTTCCTGCATTTGTGAGGTATTTCAAAAGCTTACAAGAGCTGAAGTTCTTGTACAGATATTTGGGCACACTCCTGTTCCAAAGGCGAGACAGGGCAAAAAACCCAAACAAATCATGCACATAAATTACTGAAGAAGATAAAAGTAGCGGTGAGAATATCCTATCTTCAGCTTTAATAGCCACTTAGTTCTTGTTCCTCCATAATGTCTGAAACCAGAGTACATGCAGAGGTGGTCAGTCTCCGTCCTGTCTCAGCTCCAGCAGAACTAAAGTTAAATTCTTTTATTGAAGAGCTGCTAAAGAGTATGTACTGGCCAGTTATTAATGGATTGATTTGCTTATGAGGGGATGCTTACCTAACGGGAACTTAATTTTTGAAGCAGGCTTTCAGTAGTTTTTGTCTCAAATCTGTCATTGGTTGTAGTTTGTGATGATGTTTTAGATGTTTGCCTGCCCTTGCAAGGACAACAAAAACCTGTAGAGACCATAGACATGAAGCCCATTGTCTCATATACGCTGAAATTTTGGATGTAGTCTGTCAGTGCTTAACCAAGTCAGATGTCCCAAGACTTGAAAAGGTATTTGTAGAACATGGAAAAAGATGTTTAATTTACTAGGGCAGAGTATGGTGCACGAGCAGCTGCAAAGCAGGTGGGACACGTGGCCTGAAAACTCCTTCCCGCTGCCCGTGGAGCAGTTACTGTGTGGTGATGCTCTGCAGGACACATGTAGTTCATGTGCTCTCTGAGAAGCTGACAGTCCCCTTTAGGTGCACGTCATTAATTGGCTGTTGGCCACAGGAAATACAATCGACGTGTTGGGAAGCATCCTGTAAGGTGTGTCTCGGCAGCAGAGGCGGCGGAGTCCTGAGCTATGGAACCACACTGGAGTTTTCTCAGATTGTTGGGGGCAGGTTTGTGTTGGTGCAGGGGACCGCCAGGTGGAAGCACCGCTGACGTTCTGCTGCATGTTCAGTAGCTCATTGACATTTGTTAGTGGGCATGGGCTCACAAAACGCTTAAAACTACTCCTTGCGTAATTAGGTTAAGGGAGAGGGGTTTTTTGTTCTGATGGTATCTTTTCAGTGACTCCACATCTGCGTGCCATCAGGCTAAACCCTGAAGCAGTATGTACAGCCTGTGTTGACTAAACCCTGCGAATATTCTGACGTAGCAAAAATACAGATGCATGTGTTGGGAATAGGTGAATATTGGACTGAATATAGGGGTATTTTGGTGTGCATTTTTACTGAGTGTTCACAGTCCCTTTTAAAAAGCTTTATCTGAGGTTAATTTAATTGCTAGTTTGAAGTTAGGGATTATGGTCATCCATGTAAAACTGACTTTGGAGAAAAAAAGCTAGAAGGAGGGATTTGAAATACCAGTTGTCCTAGGAACTCATGAAACTTCGAATGTGGTGATTTTAAAGACTTCTAGTTAAGGTGTCTGCACTGCTAAGCCACTCTTGACAATGCGTAAATACTTAAATTGGATTTATGCTGCCTTCTAATCTGTAAAGGGCATTAGCAGATGAACATGGGATGAACGTATCTACATATCTTGCATGGAATAGGTCAGTGCCTGGTAAATCTTCTCAGCATGAACACCATGTTAAATGATGTGTAAGACTTTTAAAACAAGGATCTTTGTGAGGTACAAGTCATATGGTTCTAATAGTAGACTGCAATGTTTTTACAAGTAATCTACATAGTAATAGAATGTGAGTTTTGCTTAATTACTGACCAGCGTTTAAATGTTTCTTTTAATGGAGTGGTAACACTCCTTTCATTAATCCTGTGAGTTTGTTTGGTGGAAGAATTCTACTCTCCTGGCTGTCATAAAGGCTTGTTCACTATGTGTGGAGTTGAGAACAAATTGAGCTGACTTCTCCAACTGCCAGTTATCAGCTCTTACTTAAAATGGGTAGAAGAGCAGTAGGGAGGAGGATTAAAAACCTTCACTGGAGTTTGCTTTGACCATGTAGCTAGTGAAACCGTGGGTTCAGATACAGTTCAGCAGTGAAAAATGAACTCTCACTTTGGTTACTGTTCTGGGTGAATGGAGAATCATCCCTGAATTTGAAAGCACCACTCTTGGAGCCATCGTGGCCAGAACTGTTCTTGCATCATCTGCAGTAGTAACCTATGCTGTACGTGTTTCTTCTGTAATCTCAATCACCAAGTGAGACGTGCTTGGCTCTCTATAAGGCAGTGAAGGTGCAGGAAGATCATTCAGTTTATACAGGAATTTAAAACCTGCTTTGTGGAATGAGTGGGCCACTGGCTATTCCTGAGCCCTCTTCTGTATTCCTGAGCTCTCTTCTGTATTACTGCCTGCAAGTTCTGAGAAACCGAGATGATCTTGTTAATTGCTGTGCTTGTACTGCTTTTGTGTAGAATAGTGGCTTTCAACAGGAGTTTTCAGTCTAAAAATAACATGTGTTATTCCCCTGTTTGCCAGAAACAGGAGCACTGCAGGTGTTTGCCTACAGAAGACAGCTGCACTTTCTGTGGTGTAGGAAGGAGATAGATAGGTGTTCATCGGTTGCGCAAGTAGGATGTCTGAACGAGTTTCTCAGTGCTAGTAGTGTTTCTGTTGCCAAGCTACTGTCAAAGTAGTTTCTAAGATGTGATTCAAATACAAAACACAAGGTGGAGATAGTATTTTGTAGGTTAAGACCAGTAACTAAGAGGTTGCCAATGTGGGGAAATTTGATGTTATTCCTGATGTTAACTTCTGCAGAGTGTGCGAAAATGTGTGTCTTGGGTATAGTAGTGAAAATCGTGAGGGAGCAGGGCTTACAAACAGGTAATACAGTGTGTTGTTTACACTGTAAGGAAAAGTTTGTACTAAAAGCAACTATTTTCTTTTAGAAGGACTGTGAATATGTCTGGCATAGCTCTTAGCAGACTGGCACAGGAGAGAAAAGCCTGGAGAAAAGACCATCCATTTGTAAGTATGAGAACTGTCAAATTGCTGACTCTGCAGTTGGTTTGGTGTTCTGAGGAAGTTTTTTATTCTTTACCCTGATGTGACTTTTCTCATATTGTTCTTTTTTTTCCTTATTAATAAAAACTGTTTGAAGCTATATAGTGCAAAAAGAAATAATTGTAAAGATAAAATATATCATGAAGTATTCTAAGTACATCTACCAAAATCCTCACCCTCTGGCTTTTTGCCTTAATTCAGGGATTCGTAGCAGTACCCACGAAAAATCCAGATGGCACAATGAATCTAATGAACTGGGAGTGTGCTATTCCAGGAAAGAAAGGGGTAAGACTCAACCACTTGCATTCTGTCAAAACAAGATTATCCCTCATAATAGCCAGTTATGTACTTTATCATGATGTCACTTTTAAATACCTACATACCGTCTTCATGCGACTGCTTAAAGTTTTGTAAACCACAAAATGGAGCAAACAAGATCCTTAAAGCCAACTTCTTGCATCCTTGAAAATGCATCACACCAGGAAAAGATTAGTTTTGCTTATATGATTCCTGGTATTTTAAAAATTGGGGTTATCAATTGAGTAAAAATGCAGTCTCTAACAAGAAGCAGCGTGCCTTGTTCACCTCTACCAGACCAGCCAGTGGCTCTCTGTTGCCTTTGTGTTGGGAGGCAAGCTGTACTGCACCTGCTTCCCCTGAGACACAGGAGTAGTTGAAACCACCAAAATGCTTTCTTGTCAGTCAGATCAAAAATTGAAGTGAAGTGCTGTTAGTCCTGGGATATCTCAGTTCATTTTTTTTTACAGCAAATCACTTGTTAACTACCCAGAATTTGACTCCAAGAACATCTGCAACCCGTCCAGTTACACAACATGATCTTAATGATACTGCTGTCATACTGTTATCTTAGTAAGGCTTTTGAGTATCTGCTGTCTTTCACCTGTAAGGTGTGTTGCTCTGTGAGAAAGACACTAAAAACTTGATTGACTGTTCTGGTGTTCTACTTGAAGAAGTTATTACAAGCTATTTGTCTTCCCCTATGACTGAAAGCAAACAAATGGGAGAAGTTTATCATACCAAAAGGCTCCTCTCTTCTAAAAATGGACAAGTTTGTTTCCTCTGGGAAATATTGGAGAATAGGTATTTCTAGTTGCTAACAACTGACTACAGCTGTTCGGAACAAGTCTTCAAATATACAATAGCAAATCTAATGAAATTTACTTGCTTTCTAGAACACAGTTATCTTAGTGTTCTTAGCAGATTTTCTTCCTATTCCATCTGAGACTTTGCACAATCAATACCAATGACAATGGAGTGCTTGGGGGAGGGTGATTTTTTTTTTTTTTTTTTTTTTTTTTTTTGCTTTTTTCCTCTTTACATTTTTTTCTTTCTTCTGCTAAAAATTATATAATAATGGTAAAAAAGAATTGGGGATTTCCTCCTAAGGTGGTCTTCAAACATACCTGGCTGCTCCTGAGGAGAGGATTTGATCATTTATACTGATAACATACGAGATGATCTTTACTCCAGTTCATTTTAAAGAATTAACACTTAGTTTCATTGCAGTGTTTCCATAGGAAGGGCAAGTTAGAGGAGTCGTCTGAATTTTGCATATATAACAACCTTTACTGTGTTTCTACACTTCTTACCAGAGATCTGCTTTTCAGAAGATGTTGTTTTTCCTTACTTCCAAGAAGGATGACAAGGAAACACATTTTTGAGGCAGGCTTTTTGTGCTTTGCTGGATGCTTCTCCTAGATTATGTGACCCTTTTGAATAGTGCTGTCTTATTTTGTCTACTCTGTAGCATGGAACTGCTCTTATCAGTGCTTTTCCCAGTTTCTGATGGGGATTCTTCAGGTAGTTATATAGGTAGGATAACTTGTCTCAGCCTAGACAGTGTGCTACGGTGTAGGACAGCTGTTTCCAACTGTATAGCAAAAGGATGTCTTGCACTTTGTCTGAGAAATTGTATTCCTGAGAAGCTTTTTTTTCAGAAGTTTGACTTCTCTTTGCTGTAATCTAAACTCTACCTTAACTCCTTATAGACACCATGGGAAGGAGGCTTATTTAAATTACGGATGCTTTTCAAGGATGACTACCCTTCTTCACCCCCAAAATGTAAGTAAAATGACTAAAAACCACGGGCTTATTGGAACAGTGTTAAACTAGGCCATGAGGTTCTATGAATGGTTATTACTTTCTTACAGCTATCTTTTCTTTATCAGAAAGTTGCTGTTTTCTCTTTTCCCCACCCATCACTTTGCATTTAGAAAGTTGCAGTGAAATGAGCTAAGGGCTCAGAATAACAAAGTTGTGCTGGGAGGGCAGTTACTGTGTGGCTTTCCTCAAAGTTTGACAAAAGCAGCACTTGAGGTGTTCACTGCTTGACCCGTCCTGTTTGGAAAGCAGCGGGTAAGCATTGTTAGACCAAAGCCCTTTGCGTGTTCATAATGTTAAGCTGGTCTGCTAAGCCAAGAACTCAGAAGGCAAGAACTTAGAAAAAATAATAAATAGAAAAAGTTCCATCAACTTTAACCTTATCATCAACTCGCTCTAAAACATGGATCTGTTCTTTTTCTGAGACTATATGCAACAGATATCTTCGGGTACCGGGATTTGAGTGTTTTGAGTTTTCCTTATCCCATCTCAAAGGTACTTTAAAAATCTGGAAGTATTTATTGCCTTGCCTAGTTTTTGTTTCTCAAATTGGCTTCCGTCTCAAATCAATGACAGTGACTACAGATGGCTCTTTTGACAGTGGTTCATTTCTCATTTCAGTTTAATGTTTCAGCTGTATCGGTTGTCTTGGCAACTCCTTTTGTTACCAGCCAAATACACAAAGAAACATGTTTTATCTAGAAAATATTTAACGTTAATATCTTGAGAAACACCAACTAGCACATCGTGCAAGTGTTAAAGAACTGCCATGCCTTAAAATAGGAAGCGTATGTGACTGGTAAGACTTCATACCAGTGCAGCTTCTGAGTTCCTACTGAACTTCACAAGTAAATCTTGCTTATGAGCTGCTCAGTGACATCAGATGAATTAGAAAACTGTACTAACATGTAGATATTTCAGAGTGGCTGTTGCATTTAAGTCCTGTAAAGATTAAAGAAATGGCAGAATATAGATTGGGTGACAGAAGGAGAGTTGCACAAGCCTAATTCTTCAGTCAGTCAGTCTTGCAAGTTGAATTTGGTTCCTCTTGTTCAGAGCATCTTGATTATACATTAAAGAAATGTGAAACTGAAAAAAATGCTAGGAACTCAAGTCATCTTTTGGAGAACTTGCAGTGTTTTAAAGTGAGAAGAGATGAACAAAGGGCGTTCTGTTATAGAGTAGTACATGAGGCTGTAAAGACAGGACTGGTTATAAAGGCCTTTATCACAAAGCTACCACAAACTGTTTCGGTAGTTTCCATTCCTAAAACAGAAGATTACAGGTCACAACAATAGTGTTACATTGCTTGGGTCGATACCACAGATGTGATGGAGTTCCTGCTTTAGGTGCAGGCTGAGCCAGGAAGAAAACCAGTATTAATAGCACCAGAAATCTGTGGGGGTTTTTCTTGGGGGGTGGGGGTGTCTTTGCCCATTCCTCTTCCATCCTAATCTAAACCAGCTCACTGATTTTGGTCTTAGTGCTGCATGCAAGTAATTCTCTCTTCCTCATCAGGCAAATTTGAACCACCGTTATTCCACCCAAACGTGTATCCTTCAGGCACAGTGTGTCTCTCCATCTTAGAGGAGGATAAGGACTGGAGGCCAGCAATCACAATTAAACAGGTCATTATTTGTACTTAGACATATTCTTAGCCCTTTTATTTGCTTTGCTTGCTTATCTGATGTGAATGTGAGATGTTCACTGTTTCTACAGTTGGTTTCTAAGGGTTTCTTCATTGAATGTCTCTTAGTAATATCCATGCCTATGTTACTTCTGTTCCTTCTTCCACAGATCTTGTTAGGAATACAAGAACTCCTAAATGAACCAAATATTCAAGACCCAGCTCAAGCAGAGGCTTACACAATTTACTGGTAAGTACCTTTGCGTATCAGCTTGAAAGCTTTCATACAGCTGTCTGTTACTTACAGTATAACATGCTAATGTTTTTAGGAATGATCAGGGGGATTTCCTTTGTGGTTTATATCCTGTGGAGATGCCTATTTCGTGCTGTACTTGAACAAAACAGTAACTTCACAGTTAATAGGCTAGTGGGGCTTTTAATAGCATTGCAACAGCAATGAAGTGTGAAGACTCCATCAGACCATGATTCTCATCCTGGTTCTAGTGCAATGTAGACTCCTTTCCCCTAGAGGTTCAGCA